CAGGTCTGAATCTCTACACTGCTCACCCCTTTTTAAACAGACACTTGAATTAGGGACTGTAATTCCAACAAGAATTTCTGGTGAAGACACTTGAACTTCTATGGTTCACAATCACACAAACCTCTCATGGGAATTGCAGCTCTGTAATTCACAGCTGTCTGCTATTTGTACTGTACATCACGGATTGCCTAAGCTAGGAATTGCTGTAAAAAAATTAATGAGATTACAGCTAGTAAATCAAGTTGGATGGATTGTTGGATCTGCCCACTCGATAGAGAACAGTTGGCAGAAGTAACTGGAAGTGAACTGTGGAAGTACAAACACCAGCATGTTGGCTAGCTCTGCCGTCCCATTTGAAAACATGCATGTAAACCGCTCAAGCATGCATTTTTGGGACAAATTTTTCAAATAAAGAAAAAGTACTTGAGCAGATTCTAATAATAATACAATTACATATAACAACATGGCAATAAAACAAACTAACAAAGTATTGCCATTACACTCTCTTACAAGCAATTTAATAAAGCTACGTGCTGTAGAAAGAAAAATCAGTCATTGCTCTGATGAAAACTAATATGCAATTATCTTATTGATGTAAATTATGACAGTGCTAGGTGATGCCATGGTTTAAATTCTTTAAGGCCTTTAAATTCAAAGGATTAAAAATGAGTTTGGGAACCTCATTCTGGTGTCTAGTCAACATTTTCCACATTATTAACTGACCCAAAATTCACTAAGACAAGCAATCATCAGAGACTTAGAACTGACAAGAAGGGGACTGTAAGTCAGAATCAAGATACACTGGCATATACCCAGTGAGAAACATACTTGCCCATACCAGGCTTTTGTTACATGAGCACTTAAAACAAACATACGATCTTAATTCTCCATCCAGGTCTTGCTGACGTAGCTTCCTGAAGTCCGCATCCAGCGCCTGATAGTTTTCCTCCAATGTATCGTAAAAGCCTGGAGCAGGCTTCTTTTCAAATGGGATTTCTGCATTGTAATCCACTCCTCTCTTCTTTTTCCTTTTCTTCTGGATCTCTATCCCTGCAGCTCTAAGTTCCCTTCTCTTCTGGAGAGCAGCAAGACGTCTGAGGAACACAGTGAATGCAAAGGTAACGTCGCCTGTACAATAGTCACCTTTTACCATCAAATAGTACTTAGGGGTGAGATATTTATAGAATGTGAGGGACCATAACACTAACATTATTAAATGTTTATATTCTAGGAGCATCCAGATGCTTCAGTCAGGCTGCATATTCATTGCACACACATGAAAGGATACAATGACACAACCACTGCCATCCTGAAAAGATTGGAATCTAAAACCTTGACCCAGCAAAGATTTAAGCATGTGCTTTACTTTGTAGATTGCATGTAGGCCCAGTGAAATCACCCTGAGTAATTCCACTGCATCAATGTAAGCACATGCAAGTCTTTGCAGGTTTGGGGCCTAAGATGAGCAGTATATGAAGGGTAAGAAAGAGGAGTACGCTATATACTGCTGTTATATACACATCTGTAATTTTAAAAAATCATTCTAACTAAATAAAGCAAGGTGGCAACTATAATCCCATTTTTCTTTCAAGCATCACCAACTTGTTCATTTCTTTTTGGCATCTCAGTAGAAGTGGATCTTGAAGAGAAGTTGAAAAAGGACAGCAAAGGCTTCACAGAGCAGGTTAGATGAAAGGAACAGAAAGGGAAACTAAAAACACATTAGAATTAACATTATTATCAAGAGACAACACAGTAGGAAAGTGGAGGGGATGGGGTGTGTCTACCTAGCTTCTTCCAGCTGCTTCTCTCTTGCTTTTCTCTTGGCCTTCTTCCCCTGAGTATTAGCCAAACGCGCTCTAGCTTCAGACAGCATTTCAAGTTCATCTGCAAAAAGCACAGAGAAGGAAGGTTACCAATTTTTTACGTTGCATTATGGAGCTGGAGCCGAATATTAATATCAGAATAAAACCAGAAGCTGCCACAATTGGTGTGCCAGTATGGATCCTCGTGCCCTCTACATTTTCTCTTTACAATGAGCACAATCAAATGAACACAAGAGCTCAAGCCACCAACCAGATGACCCAAACAGATCACAAGAACATTCATAACGTTGGAAATATTTCACTGATGTGTGAGGCTGTTTAAACTGAAATAAGAATAGTCCTAGTAAAAGGGAGACTGAGCACAATAATAGAAAAGCATTTCATTTGTATTTAGGCCTACACGATAATAATGAGTGACCAATTATGATGATGATAGGAATAAGACATTTGAGAAACTACTACTATTCAAGAATAGTCCTTATTCAGTCTTCACCCTGGGAAACTTCCTGGAATCCTACACCTCCTAATAATCTAAAATATCATTGGTGTAACATACAGAATAATTTGTACTGGTACATGTCAGTAATAATTCACTGAGGAGATATTAGCTCGTGTGAAGACACAGAGGAGAATTTCCAGTGGGAAGTCAGTAAACAGCAGAAAGCCACGCAGGGGAAAAAACAACCATTCTAAGAAACACAGATGACAAAGAGGGGGCAGATCCAAAGAGGGAAGGAGACCACATGAAACTAAAGAAAAGAAAGAAGAAATCTGAAAGAGGAAAGTGAAATAGAGGGCTTGAGGCAGAATACAAGATAAAAACTGTAGGAGCAGAAACAGGCACCTGAAAAAACAGAAAACAAAAGAGGCAGGATGAAGCAAATAAAGATCAAAGGAACTGCAAAAGAATTAATTTTAACACTCTGATACATGTAATAGTAATAGAGAGGTAGCCGTGTCAGTCTGATCTTGCTAAAACAAAAGGAAAAACTATGTAGCATTTTAAAGACTAACCAGATGGTTTAATAGGTGATGAGCTTTCGTGGGCCAAGTGGATCTGGCCCACGAAAGCTCATCACCTATTAAACCATCTGCTGTTCGTCCATCGAGGTCGATGAGGACCACCCGGTGTTATCAGTTTAGTTGGGGGTGGGTTCGGAGATGGCTGATTAGTCCAATCCGAGCCCGAAATTGACAGTTACAGTGGAGACATGAAAGATCAGACTGCCGACCAGAGGAAAAGATACCATCCCTAGACTTGCGAAGACGACGTTTCTCTGCAGCATAACGCAGTCTCTTTTGTTTGTGGGCTATTGCACCATCATGTATTTGTCTGCGCCAAGTGGAACGATCAACAGCAATACTCTCCCAGTTTCCAGGATCTATGTTACAGTTCTTAAGGGAGGCCTTAAGGTTGTCTTTGAATATCTTCTTTTGACCTCCAAGAGATCTCTTGCCGTGTTGTAATTCACCATAGAGCATCTTCTTGGGCAATCATTCATCGGACATGCGCACAACATGGCCAGCCCATCTGAGTTGTGCCTTCTAGTTAGTCTTTAAAGTGCTACATAGTTTTTCCTTTTGATACATGAAATATATTCTTAATTTTTACCTTCATCCATGTCAATGGGATCTGGCCGGGCTGGTTTGGTTTCTGGATTTGGATCAATTTCTCCTGGTTTCAGTTTTCTGGGATCATCTGCAGTTTCTTCCTCATTGTCTCTCTGAGCAGCTTTATCTCTGCAAGGAAGTACTAGCACATTCAGGTGATGAGATTCACTTTATGAATCTGGAGAAAAAGTGTGTCCTGAAATCCCAACCCTCAAAACTGCCCACGAAATGTAAGCCAGTAGCTCACAATGAATATTACAGACACTACCTGCAGAGAATTATGAATCACTAGTATCTAATCTACTAAAACAAAAGCATCACAAACTTAATACCAATAGCGGAAAGAGAGGTAATGAAACACGCAAAACGGACAAGTCAGCACTAATGAAGATGACAGGGGTGAACTCACCTATGGTGGGTAACAGCTGTATATGGAAAGAAACAGACAATAGAGAACTGCTGCAAACAACTCTACATCTCACTTGTCGCTTCTAACTGCCAATAGTCCCAGCAAGAGTTTGTAGGAGAGGAGAGAATTTGGCCTGTTAGTAATCCCTGCCAGCAGAGGAAATGAGCCAGTCATTTCTCTCTCTGCCTTCCTCCAGGCCTTGGCCAAGAACCTCTCTCATCAAGCTAGGTAGTCCAACAACCAGCCAGCAACCTACGTATGTCCACGTAACAAACTACAAACCTTTTCCTGCTATTTATTGATAGCAAAATAGAGTCACTTACAACAGAAATTCATAATGTTCCAAGCACTGTGCAGCTGTTCTTCCAATGATTGGAGCAATGGTCCTCCACTGGGTTGGCATTAGCTTGGCCAAGTGTAAAAGTTTCTCCTCTTCTTCCCGTGACCATTCTGTCTTTTTGATACTTGGATCCAGCCACTCGTACCTGTTACATAGCAGTAAAATTAAAGGCGGGCATTTCTGAGACAGTTTATGACAATTTGATTATGAACAAGTCATAGTCCTTCCACATATCAGTTATAATGGGATTTCAGAATCTCATCCTGGATATATCAAATCTATGGCTATATACAAATGTGTAGTATACAAAGCACTTTCATACATAGAAAGCTTTATAGTTTGTTCTCATTTGTCATTCAGGTCTTCCCATCTCTCCTCACCCTCACTTTTTTTTGTTTTTGCCAAAAGACTGAATTAATAAATCTAGTCTTTACTTTCAAATGGTTACAAGAAATGGTGGAAAACAATAAGGCCCCAATAATGCAAATACTTAAACATACACTTAACTTTAACATGTGCAAGTAGTTTCGTTAGGTTATGCTTCCATTAAATTTAGCATGAATGCCTCAGTGTCTGCAGGACTGGAATCTAAATCTCATATGCATTAGTTGGAATGGTGTGTTAATTTTAAGGGTTGTTTTTTCTAGTACGCATTCTAATCTAGTATTGGAAAATTTAAAAAAGAGGAGGCTAAACTCAGCAGTCTGAGAGATGACCATTTAGAGCTTATTTTAAATGAATTTTCTCTGTGAGTTCTCCTTCTGACAAATATTTCATCCAAAATATGTAAAATCACAGACTATAAAGTGGTTATTTTGAACTGAATTTTCACAATGATCTTGTATCTTCTGTTTATGTTATGTCACTGATGTCATCTGTAAAGTGAATGGCTTTCTATTTGGCTCGCATTACATTCAAGGAATAGGAATGTGTGATATCTACAGAAGATGAAATCAGATAAGAATCATGAAGTTCTACCTCCCTCCTCTGGACCTGAACCACTGACAAACTCTAGAGTCTATCTATATTATTTTTAAAAGTTTTTCCTCTAGGACGAGGAAATGACATCATCATGTCACTCGGCATCCCACATCCCCTCCCGCTTCAGGCACCCTGCTTCTTCCCTTCCTCCCCACTGCTAATCCACCAGGGAACGGTAACTCCTGAGCAGCAGCAGCACTGAAGGTAAGTTGCTGCTGATGGGCTTCAGGGGGAGGAGGAAAATTCTGGGGGGGCCCACGAGAGGCCTGCTGTAAGGAGCACTAAAAAAGTTCAGCACGGCGGGGGGGCAGCGGTGGCGAGGCCTGCTGTGGGGGAGCGCCAGACTGGGGGATACTCTGGCCCGAGTTGGGACCGGGGCTGGATGTGCCTCTGGCAGCCACCATGGCAGGCTGCCAGGATCTAAAATTTTGCCTGTGGCACAGGGGTGCAGGGTGCCCTGCTGCAGATGCCTGATGTGGAGGAAGGCCAGACTGGGGATCACCCTGCCCAGAGCCAGGGCCAGGAAGCACCCCAGCCCGAGCCACAGTTGGATGTCCCTCTGGCAGCCGCCCACCCACGTGGCAGATGCCAGAGGGACATTTAGCCCTGTTTCAGACTAGGGCGCCTCCCGTAGTGGGCCTCTGCAGTAGAGACCTCTGTCCCTCCCCATGGGCCTCGCCGGCCCCACCCCGCACCACCGGCCCCTCTCCCAGGGTTGGATGTCTCTCTGGCAGCCACCACATGGGTGGGAGGCTGCTGGAGTTTAAACTGAGCAGCATGGCTCCTCCACTGTCCGGGGGCAGGGGGGAAACAGGAGCTGCAAAGCCTTGCAGTGACTCGGGTGAGGAGAGGGGGACGCGCAGGACACATAAGGTGTCTGCGGCAGTCTGGAGGGAGTGAGGCATGTGGCAGTTGTGCAGCCTCGCCCCACACAGCAAGAGGGAGAGTGCTCCACACTCCTTTCCTCCTCCCTACCAGAGGGAGAAAGCCAGGCCAGCCACAGCCTCTGTCTGGCCCAAACCTGCTCCCAGCAGCAGCCAAAGGGAGAGAGCCAGGCCAGTGCGGCCTCAGCCCAATCTCCCGGCAGCCAGAGGGAAAGATCCGGGCCAGCATAGGTCTACCCCACTACCCTCACCAGCAGCCAGAGAGGGGAGAGCCGGGGCAGGCTAGGGCTGTCACACGTTGGCCTGGCCCTCCTTGGTGGCTGAGGGAGAGCTGGGGTTGCCTACCCCCGGAGAGGGGGGTTGGTGTTCACATTAACAATGGATCTCACTTTCCCACTCGCTGTTTCTCTACTTACCATCTGGCTTTGCATTGTTTTGCTGATTTTCTGTGTAACAAGGAAGCAATACGAGACCATTGGTTTTTGCCATATTTCATCACAGCTGCTTTAAGAATTTCATCCTTAAAACAAAAATAATTCTTATTACTATGGGTCATCAGACAACTTCATCAGAGATGAATGCTTGCTTTTAGCTCAGTGTGGAGAAGCATAGATAAGAGTGGTGTACTGGTGGAAAAGGCAAAAGAATTGTCTTTTTCCCAAAATTTTGCTCTCATCAAGATTAGCGCTGTTTCACCAATGTCATAAATGTTGCAGCTAACATGTTAAATTACTATAGCTGAATGAAAATTATTGCTGTTTACTTTGAACATTTGCTAGCACTTGGTGAATAGTTAGTCTCATTGTTTCTCCTGCACATGAAGTTTCCAGGGTTGTGTAGATCCTTCACACAACAAAGGTGGAGAAATATTTTAATAAGACATTGTATAAGCTGAAAAGTGGGGCACGTGCGGCACCTAAAACCAATTTCAACTTTTTTTTTTAATTGAGTAGATTTCATATGTCTTCAAGTAGAAGTTTCAGATTTGTGATAGAAATGGAGCCACCTGGCTAAAGAACATATTTGGAAGGCCTTAAAAAGCAGAGCTCAATATCTAGACAAGTACTTTGTTGCCAATCGAGTCACAATTAGAACTGCTTACTTTATGATATTTGCATCCTACACCTAACTAAGTTCCTGTTCTTGTATAGTTCATTTAATACTATACATGGCAGATTAACAACTTTGTTTGGAGATAGCAGGCAACAAAATGTTGTCAGAAGCACTTGCTTTGTGAAAGTGCAACTGCAGACAAGCATAATTTTACAGTTTAATGGCACCACATTACTTAGGAGTGCTAAAAGTTCTTGTACTAAACCTAAACAACCAATGGCATATGAAAGCTGTTTATGAAATGTCCCATTTGCGGGTGTTTCAAATGAAACAACTGCAAACCCTCAAGAAGACTTCAAAGGAAAGAGAATACAATTTCCATTGGGGATGTAAAATCCCAGTTAACCAATTAAGTGAGATCCCGCACAGGGTGGGAAGTGGCAGCATGA